CAGGCCATAAATGTAAAATATATATATTGGAAAGCTGGGAGTGCTATTATATGATACAATATCAGTACTTGTTGCATTTACAACTTTTCAAACTCCTATCATCAACTGATTTCAGCCAGTGTATGGCTGTGGATTGACTGCATTGTTTGAACGGAATGTGGGCAAATAGTCCCAGTCGCTATTAAATAGAACGTTACGGCCCGACCTGCCTGTGGGGAAACAACACGTGGTAAATCTTGGTTACCCAAATGGCTCACAGCAAAAACATAACCTTTTTCAAACTCAGTTTTCGTGTTGTCTGCTTGTTTTAGTAAATTGTAAAACTACATTTAAGAAAAGTACAACATGGCTAAAGATTACTTTTCAACATTGCCTGCTCCCGAGCGTTCTCACTACATAGTAAAACGTAATATTGTAGGGCTTCCCTGAGGACCCTTTTCATGACGGTGCTAGCAGCCACATGAGTGAGTACTAGCTAGCTACCGACTGGAACATTAAGCCAAGACCAACAACACTAACAGACTATACAGCTACAAGTAGTTGGTGGAGTTACAAACAGACAATACAGCTACAAGTAGTGAGTGGAGTTACAAACAGACTATACAGCTACAAGTAGTGAATGGAGTTACAAACAGACTATACAGCTACAAGTAGTGAATGGAGTTACAAACAGACTATACAGCTACAAGTAGTGAATGGAGTTACAAACAGACTATACAGCTACAAGTAGTGAGTGGAGTTACAAACAGACTATACAGCTACAAGTAGTGAGTGGGGTTACAAACAGACTATACTAAACAAGTTCAATGTCTTACCTAAGCATTTTCCACGCAAATACCGTGCCTTCAGAAAGTATTCTCACCCCTTGACTTTTTCCACATTTTGTTGTGTTAAAGCCTGAAATTTAAATAGATTACATTTAGATTTTTTTTTCACAGGCCTACACACAATATCCCATCATGTCAAAGTGGAATAATGTTTTTCGAAATTTTTACAAGTGAATTACAAATGAAAAGCTGAAATATCTTGTGCCAATAAGTATTCAACCCCTTTGTTATGGCAACCCTAAATAAATTCAGGATTAAACATTTGCTTAACAAGTCACATAATAAGTTGCATGGACTCAGCAACATGATTTTTGAATGACCACCTCATCTCTGTACCCCACACATACAGTGGGGAGAACAAGTATTTGATACACTGCCGATTTTGCAGGTTTTCCTACTTACAAAGCATGTAGAGGTCTGTAATTTTTATCATAGGTACACTCAACTGTGAGAGACGGAATCTAAAACAAAAATCCAGAAAATCACATTGTATGATTTTTAAGTAATTCATTTTCATTTTATTGCATGACATAAGTATTTGATCACCTACCAACCAGTAAGAATTCCGGCTCTCACAGACCTGTTAGTTTTTCTTTAAATAATAATAATAATAATATGCCATTTAGCAGACGCTTTTATCCAAAGCAACTTACAGTCATGCGTGCATACATTTATTTGTGTATGGGTGGTCCCGGGGATCGAACCCACAACCTTGGCGTTACAAGCGCCGTGCTCTACCAGCTGAGCTACAGAGGACCTCCTGTTCTCCACTCATTACCTGTATTAACTGCACCTGTTTGAACTCGTTACCTGTATAAAAGACACCTGTCCACACACTCAATCAAACAGACTCCAACCTCTCCAACCTCTCCAACCTCTCCACAATGGCCAAGACCAGAGAGCTGTGTAAGGACATCAGGGATTAAATTGTAGACCTGCACAGGGCTGGGATGGGCTACAGGACAATAGGCAAGCAGCTTGGTGAGAAGGCAACAACTGTTGGCACAATTATTAGAAAATGGAAGAAGTTCAAGATGACGGTCAATCATCCTCGGTCTGGGGCTCCATGCAAGATCTCACCTCGTGGGGCATCAATGATCATGAGGAAGGTGAAGGATCAGCCCAGAACTACACGGCAGGACCTGGTTAATGACCTGAAGAAAGCTGGGACCACAGTCTCAAAGAAAACCATTAGTAACACACTACGCCGTCATGGATTAAAATCCTGCAATGCACGCAAGGTCCCCCTGCTCAAGCCAGCGCATGTCCAGGCCCGTCTGAAGTTTGCCAATGACCATCTGGATGATCCAGAGGAGGAATGGGAGAAGGTCATGTGGTCTGATGAGACAAAAATAGAAGTGTTTGGTCTAAACTCCACTCGCCGTGTTTGGAGGAAGAAGAAGGATGAGTACAACCCCAAGAACACCATCCCAATCGTGAAGCATGGAGGTGGAAATATCATTCTTTGGGGATGCTTTTCTGCAAAGGGGACAGGACGACTGCATCGTATTGAGGGGAGGATGGATGGGGCCATGTATTGCGAGATCTTGGCCAACAACCTCCTTCCCTCAGTAAGAGCATTGAAGATGGATCGTGGCTGGGTCTTCCAGCATGACAACGACCTGAAACACACAGTCAGGGCAACTAAGGAGTGGCTCCGTAAGAAGCATCTCAAGGTCCTGGAGAGGCCTAGCCAGTCTCCAGACATGAACCCAATACAAAATCTTTGGAGGGAGCTGAAAGTCCGTATTGCCCAGCGACAGCCCCAAAACCTGAAGGATCTGGAGAAGGTCTGTATGGAGGAGTGGGCCAAAATCCCTGCTGCAGTGTGTGCAAACCTGGTCAAGACCTACAGGAAACGTATGATCTCTGTAATTGCAAACAAAGGTTTCTGTACCAAATATTAAGTTCTGCTTTTCTGATGTATCAAATACTTATGTCATGCAATAAAATGCTAATTAATTACTTAAAAATCATACAATGTGATTTTCTGGATTTTTGTTTTAGATTCCGTCTCTCACAGTTGAAATGTACCTATGATAAAAATGACAGACCTCTACATGCTTTGTAAATAGGAAAACATGCAAAATCGGCAGTGTATCAAATACTTGTTCTCCCCACTGTACAATTATCTGTAAGGTGCCTCAGTCGAGCAGTGAATTTCAAACCCAGATTGAACCACATAGACCAGGGAGGTTTTCCAATGCCTCACAAAAGAAGGGCTCCTATTGGTAGATAAAAAAATTAAAAAATAAAAGCAGACATTGAATATCCCTTTGAGCAGGTGAAGTTATTAAATACACTTTGGATGGTGTATCAATACACCCAGTCACTACAAGGATACAGGCATCCTTCCTAACTCAGTTGCCGGAGAGGATGGAAACCGCTCAGGGATTTCACCATGAGGCCAATGGTGACTTTAAAACAGTTACAGAGTTTAATGGCTGTGATAGGAGAAAACTGAGGATGGATCAGCAGCATTGTAGTTACTCCACAATACTAATCTACATTTAACAAAAAGGATGCCTTTACATAATACACATTTTTTAAACCATGCATCCTGTTTGAAATAAGGCACTAATGTAAATTGCAAAAAATGTGACAAAGCAATTCATGTTATGTTTGGGGCAAATCCAATAGAACACATTACTGAGTACCACTTTCCATATTTTCAAGCAAAGTGGTGGCTGCATCATGTTATGGGTATGCTTGTAATCATTAAGGACTGGGGAGTTTTTCAGGATAAAAAAGAAATGTAATGTACTTGAAAATCAATGGAGAGACCTTAAAATGGTTGTCTAGCAATGATCAACAACCAACTTGACAGAGCTTGAAGAATTTTGAAAAGAATAATGGGCAAATGTTGCACAATCCAGATGTGGAAAGCTCTTAGATACTTACCCAGAATGACTCTCAGCTATAATCGCTGCCAAAGGTGCTTCTACAAAGTATTGACTCAGGGGCGTGAATACTAATGTAATTGAGATATTTCTGTATTTCATGTTCAATAAATGTGCAAACATTTCTAAAAACATGTTTTCACTTTGTCATAATGGGGTATTGTGTGTTCATGGGTGAGAAAACAAATCAATTTGGTTTATTTTGAATTCAGGCTGTAGCACAACAAAATGTGGAATAAGTCAAGGGATATTAATACTTTCTGAAGGCACTGTAGCTAATTGTAGCCTACTTGGACACCGGGTCCCCACAATTTTCCACTCTCCTATGCCAAATAGCCTGACGCCACAGGGGCCTTCTCGCAGGCTCTATTTCCCTACATGGGAGCATTGGGAACCGTAGGTCTGGATTTTCGACCTGGTTACATGTACATTGAACAACACAGCATCTTTTCGGCATATTTTGTTATTTTTCTATAACAAAAATCGGCGACAAAGTTGCCTCTTTTACAATGGGGGTCAATAGGAAAGGATATTTGTTTTCCCCAAATTGTGGGCGCGGTTGAGGGGAATTCCTTCTTATAACATGAATACCGACTCGGGAGTATTGGCAGTTAATTTGAAAAATGTATGGACTCAATCCTCTAAAACTGTCTGGCTAGCCAGCTAACAAACATACAGTGCAGATACATTCTTCAAATGCATTATTTTACACAATATCTTATCCCAGCACTGGCAAACCATGGTTGACCAACTCCCTGACCAACATGGCTGACCTTTATCCCATCATAAGAAGGTTCATATCTAATCTGGTATTCCAATTCCTCATTCTGTGGCCTCTAACCCCCTGGAAACCTCTGTCACTTTATCTTTGAACCTTTGTGAAGGGCCGTAGGTTGCTATATGCTATTCTTGTGTCTCACACTTACATTTAGCATGTTTAGTCTCATTGAGATTTACATTTAAACTAATGTGAATATCAGAGGCAATATCAGACATGTCCTACTGTTAGCTGCCACTAAACGGTAGCAGACTCAAATCCTGCTCTATAGATGGAACCTGGAGCCTGCTGGGGTTGACTGTCCTGTCCTGTACTGCCATCTGGTGGATACGATGGAGCTGTGCTCCTTTTTCCTGGTTTCTCTCTATATGACAAATTGACTAATATCTCTCTCTCTACCCCCCCCCCTCCCTCCCTCTCTCTACCCCCCTCTCTCTCCCCCCCCCCCCCCCCCCCCCCCCCCCTCTCTCCCCCCCCCCCCCCCCCCTTCTAGTCCTGGAGAAGGGTCTGTTGAAGGCGCTGAAGAAGTTAGATGGATACCTGGTTAGTCCCCTCCCGGATGAGATCGATGCAGACAGCATGGAGGAGGAGAGGGTGTCCACCAGACGCTTCCTGGATGGAGATGAGCTCACGCTGGCTGACTGCAACCTACTGCCCAAACTACATATAGTCAAGGTACACACACACAGACAGACACACACACACACACACACACACACACACAGACAGACAGACACACACACACACACACACACACACACACACACACACAGACAGACACACACACACACACACACACAGACAGACAGACAGACACACACACACACACACACACACACACACACACACACACACACACACACACACACACACATACACACAGACACACACAGACAGACACACACACACACACACACATACACACATACACACACACACACACACAGACACACAGAAGTTCTATTACATGAGTGTGAGGTGTGTTCTCTCTGTGTTGTTACCAGGTGGTTGCTAAGAAGTATCGTAACTATGAGATTCCGTCTGAGCTGGGTGGGGTGTGGCGCTATCTGAAGAACGCCTACACACGAGACGAGTTCACCAACACCTGCGCTGCCGACAGCGAGATAGAGACGGCTTACCTGGACGTGGCCAAGAGACTGGCCAAGTAACCCCTGACCCCCGACCCCCGACCCCTGACCCCTGACCCCTGACCACTGACCCCTGACCACTGACCCCTGACCCCTGACCACTGACCCCTGACCTCTAACCTACAACCCTGATTTTTAACCCCTTGACACCTAATCCCAACCCATATCAGCAGTTAACATGAAGCCAGTCCACAGGGATGTGACCAGCTGGTTGTATTTATTCATCATTTCCCCTGCTGTAGTCTGACTCCACCATCGACATCTGGCTACTGATCATACTAATATATTGATTGATTTGTAAATGATAATACACTGTGTTGAAATGCAATTACAATCACAAGCTTCACTTGGTTGATTTTCCTATAGTTTTGCTGTAGTCTTTCTGTTAGAGATAGATATATCTTATGTTGAGAAGTTGATTTGCTAAAGGATGACTTGTTAATAAGCTTTAATGTATTTTAATATGTTTTTGAACACACAAGGAGAAACGGTGTTGTGTATGAAGAGGATACTCGATTATGGATGTATCCCAAATGGCACCCTATTCCCTATCTAGTGCACTACTTTAGACCAGAGAATGACACCCTATTCCCTATCTAGTGCACTACTTTAGACCAGAGAATGGCACCCTATTCCCTATCTAGTGCACTACTTTAGACCAGAGAATGACACCCTATTCCCTATCTAGTGCACTACTTTAGACCAGAGAATGGCACCCTATTCCCTATCTAGTGCACTACTTTAGACCAGAGAATGACACCCTATTCCCTATCTAGTGCACTACTTTAGACCAGAGAATGGCACCCTATTCCCTATCTAGTGCACTACTTTAGACCAGAGAATGGCACCCTATTCCCTATCTAGTGCACTACTTTAGACCAGAGAATGACACCCTATTCCCTATCTAGTGCACTACTTTAGACCAGAGAATGGCACCCTATTCCCTATCTAGTGCACTACTTTAGACCAGAGAATGGCACCCTATTCCCTATCTAGTGCACTACTTTAGACCAGAGAATGGCACCCTATTCCTATCTAGTGCACTACTTTAGGACCAGAGAATGGCACCCTATTCCCTATCTAGTGCACTACTTTAGGACCAGAGAATGGCACCCTATTCCCTATCTAGTGCACTACTTTAGACCCAGAGAATGACACCCTATTCCCTATCTAGTGCACTACTTTAGACCAGAGAATGGCACCTATTCCCTATCTAGTGCAACTACTTTAGACCAGAGAATGGCACCCTATTCCCTATCTAGTGCACTACTTTAGACCAGAGAATGGCACCCTACTTTTGACCAGACCCATAGGGAATAGGGTACCATTTGGGAGACACTTTATACTGTTTGTGCCTTGAAGCCTGGAACAAAGCTCTCTTCTGGTTGGTTCTCCTGAATAAACATGTTGCTACGTTGTTGCTATGTTGTTGCTACATTGTTGCTACGTTGTTGCTACGTTGTTGCTATGGTGTAACTTTGATTGTTCATCAGAACCAGTTTTAAAATGGATCTTATCCTAAACCATGTGCCTATTTGGAAATGTCCAAATTCCAAGCCAAGTAAAAACTGAATGATTAACGTGATAATTACATTGTATTAAATTAAACCCTAAACCTAAATCTACATACAGGTGTTTAGAACATTTTATCTCTAGCTATCAGTTGTCAGACCAAGTCCAAGAGTTGGTTTGATATGGAGTTAAAATAGATTATTTTAGATTCAGAAAATATTTATTTAGAGTCCTTTCAGGCCTGGGTGATGACAACCCACCGGATCCACCCCAGAGCGGCTGGAACGCAGACAGAATTTCCACGCAGCGAGTTCAGATTCTAAAACTTTATTGTCCATTCAGGGTAAAACAGTCATCAGTCTCTGTCTCATGGTCTCTGGCTGACTTCCTGTCTATAGCCTGTGTACTTCCTGTTCTGACCTATAGTGTTCTGGTGTGGTTTGGATGGTTCATGTGTTCTGAAATAAGAGCCATGCGCAGAGTGGACCGCTGAGAATAAAATCACAGATACTCCTGCTCTGTTTCTGTCTTTCTGTCTTTATTCCTGAAACACAAACAGCAGCTACTGTAGGTCATCAATCAACCATGACACTGACTGGCCAATCAGAGTCTCAGAGGGAGGGGTGTGTCCCGAATGGGACCCTATTCCCTTTGACGAAGGCCCTATAAGCCACGGTCAAAAGTCAAATATATGGAAGTGTTTGGTAGAGAAAGAGTTAACTCTGCCTGGCATCACTGATCAGATGCGGTCGAGTAGATCTGTTTCTGCTCCATGTGTTTGAGAGAGAGAGAGAGAGACAGGGAGAGAGAGAGAGAGAGACAGGGAGAGAAAGTGGGAGACGATGCTGACAACTTTAAATAGAGGCTTCCATGCCAAACACCACCACCACTCCTCCTCCTCCTCCTCCTCCTCCTCCTCCTCCTCCTCCTCCTCTCCTCTCCTCCCCTCATTCCCCATCCCTACTCTCTCATTAGGCTAGAAACTTGAGTGTGGTCATCCATCTCATCTGCCTCTCCCCTCTGAGGAGTCTGTCAGAAGATCTGCTGCTGTGGATTTTATGATGAGGCCAGCGGTGTTTACTGAGATGAGCCCTCTGCCAGGAACAATATCACTCTAACTACTATCACTACTACTCTGTATAACTATAACACTATCACTACTCCTCTGTATCACTATAACACTATCACTACTACTCTATATCACTATAACACTATCACTACTCTGTATCACTATAACACTATCACTACTCTATATCACTATAACACTATCACTACTCTATATCACTATAACACTATCACTACTCTATATCACTATAACACTATCACTACTACTCTATATCATTATAACACTATCACTGCTCTATATCACTATAACACTATCACTACTCTATATCACTATAACACTATCAATACTCCTCTATATCACTATAACACTATCACTACTCTATATCACTATAACACTATCACTACTACTCTATATCACTATAACACTATCACTAGCTCCTCTATATCACTATAACACGATCACTACTCCTCTATATCACTATAACACGATCACACTGACTCTAATCACTATAACACTATCACTACTGACTCATATCACTATAACACATCAACATCACGGCTCGTATATCACTATAACACTACACTACTCTCTATATCACTATAACACATCACTACTCCTCTATATCACGAACACTATCACTACTCTATATCACTATAACACTATCACACTGCTCTATATCCCCATAACACTATCACACTCTATTCACTAAACACGATCACTACTACCGACATCACTAGAACACTATCACTACTCTATATCACTATAACACTACACTACTACTCTACATCACTAAACACTATCACTACTCAAATCACTATAACACTATCAATACTCCTCTATATCACTATAACACTATCACTACTACTCTGTATCACTATAACACCATCACTACTCTATATCACTATAACACTATCACTACTCTATATCACTATAACACTATCAATACTCCTCTATATCACTATAACACTATCACTACTACTCTGTATCACTATAACACCATCACTACTCTATATCACTATAACACTATCACTACTCTATATCACTATAACACTATCACTACTACTCTATATCACTATAACACTATCACTACTCTATATCACTATAACACTATCACTACTCCTCTATATCACTATAACACTATCACTACTACTCTATATCACTATAACACTATCACTACTACCCTGTATCACTATAACACTATCACTACTCTATATCACTATAACACTATCACTGCTCTATATCACTATAACACTATCACTACTCTATATCACTATAACACTATCACTACTCCTCTATATCACTATAACACTATCACTGCTACTCTATATCACTATAACACTATCACTACTACCCTATATCACTATAACACTATCACTACCACTCTATATCACTATAACACTATCACTACTCTATATCACTATACACTATCACTACTACTCTATATCACTATAACACTATCACTACTCCTCTATATCACTATAACACTATCACTACTCTGTATCACTATAACCTATCACTCCTCTATATCACTATAACACTATCACTACTCTATATCACTATAACCTATCACTCACTCTATATCACTAAACACTACACTACTCTATATCACTATAACACTATCACTACTCTGAACATAACACTACCCTATCAAAACTCCCTATATCACTAGAAACACTATACTACTACTCTATACACTATAACACTAGCACTACTATCCATATCACTAGAACACTAGCACTACTCTGCCGATCACTATAACACTATCACTACTACTATGAGTCACTATAAACACTATCACTACTCTGATATCACTATAACACTATCACTACTCACTCTGTATAACTAACACTATCACTACTACTATATCACTATAACACTACACTACTCTCTACTATAACTAAACACTATACACTAGACCCTATATCACTATAACACTATCACTACTACTCTACATCACTATAACACTATCACTACTACTCTATATCACTATAACACTATCACTACTACCTATATCACATATAAAACTATCACTCCTCTAATCACGATAACACTATCACTACGACCCGATGATCACTATAACACTATCACTACTCTATATCACTATAACACTATCACTACTGCTCTATATAACTATAACACTATCACTACTACTCTATATCACTATAACACTATCACTACTCTGTATCACTATAACACTATCACTCCTCTATATCACTATAACACTATCACTACTCTATATCACTATAACACTATCACTACTACTCTATATCACTATAACACTATCACTACCACTCTATATCACTATAACACTATCACTACTCTATATCACTATAACACTATCACTACTACTCTATATCACTATAACACTATCACTACTCCTCTATATCACTATAACACTATCACTACTACTCTATATCACTATAACACTATCACTACTCTGTAT